CAAGAGGTAAAAACAAACACTCCTAAAATGTCTTTTTATGCATTATGTATGTTGATTCATTTTAGTGAAATAATTAAGTGAAAGTCTCTATTTGTTCTTTTATGTCTGTACTTTATGAGGGGAAATATTTGGGTACATATACACCATGTTTATATAAAATTATATTAATGAGGGTGTTTGTACTTTTATTAAATGCATTTAGTGTGAGTTTGTGAGTTCACAATTAATGTGGGCACCCTAATTAAGAGCCCCACTGCTTTTGTACTGGCCAAGATCAAATACATTTACATAAATGTACCCTGGATATGTCATTCAGCACTGCATTTAGATAAGTATTTCACTTTTCTAAACAAAACATTAACATACCAGCTTAAATCTCTGAAGTGGGATATTACTGAGATCGACAGGACTGCGCTCTGCAATGTTCACGAAGCGAGCCTCCAGCACTGCTACGGCACATAATACATGAACCCACCTGCAACAAAACCACATTTTCAACCTAAGCAGGTTTCATCCATTGCCTGAGGTAAAACCACAAACATGACGTGTTGTCAGCAGCTGAGAGAGGCAGCTCACAAAACTGTCATTCATCTGAGAGGAATGCGTGTAACTGAAAATGGCTGCTGTTGACCCAGAGGCTCCTGGCTACCTACTTGTCATTGTTGGCCTTCTGCAGAGCTCCTCCTCTCAGAGAGCATAAACAGCAGTCCTGAGGGAAAGACACAAACACTTAGTCAAACTGGGATTAATAAACAGAGTGAAAGCAGGTGCAACTGGAAAAACCTTGTCATGCATGACAGCCAGATATATTAGTGCCCCCTAGCATCTAGAAAAATGCATAGCAGAGGTTTTGGGGATAAAAAAACAAAACAAAAAAAACAACTGTAAACCTACTCAAATGATCTAACTGACCTGAGTAATGGCGTTAGCTTCACAGCGGGAACATCTCCACTCGTCCAGATTAGCATCCTGAGAAACACCGTAACAACCTGTAGACAAAACATCCACAATTCATCAAATTACCCAATTACATTTTCAAAAACATATGGATATCAGACAAATTACATGAATGTGAACATTTCTTTTGCAATATAAAACCTAGGTTATTATTTATACCATTAATAAGGGAAGTGAATATTTTTTATGTTTTATGTTGCTTAAAATTTAAATATGATGTAAGACAAATGGTTATGAAGACCATGTTTTGTTTTCAAATAATAAACGAAAATTGCAAACAACCAAGGAATGTGCATAGAGAAAAAAAAAATGCATTCAGTCATGTTTTTTGCTAACGTTAGGGCTGGCGATATATCAGGTTTGAATGATATATCAATATATTTTCCATAAGCGATATGGTATGAGGCAATACCACCTATATCAATATACAGTAGTTTGATACGAGCACATCTGAATAATAGCAGAGGACACAGAGTGAGCTGCTGCGGGGAAAGTGCATAATACAGTTTGTCCTAAACATGATACATGCTTTATATTAAGGGCTTTAAAATAACTTGTAAGATATAGTTAACACGTATAGTTTAAAGTGGCTCGCCCCGTCAGACTCTCTGACAGACATGTGCTGCTGACAGAGACGCTACTTGCGCTGTTTGAGATGTGTTGTTTTCCTCAGTGCATAACTTACATTTCACAGGTATATTCTGATGGAGCGCAATAGAATATGTGTGCAATAATTCTGACTAAAATATACATTTTACTAAAATATTTGTAGTTGAACAATAAATGTGCCATGTGTAGAATTTTAAACCCAAAAGTAGGCCAAGTGTATTTTATGATAGCAGTAACTGTAAAGTGACTATTGTAATGGGGTAATCAGAATATAATGCAATTAATCTGTGCTTTTGTTTTATATCTATTCACTTTTAGTTTAGTGAATTGAACTTCTGCTTTAAATAGCATTGTTTTCGTTTTTAGATTGTAATGTTACAATGTTAAAATGTAATGTGATTTTAGCCCCTTTTTTTGTACAATATATAGCATAGCCTACATGGTTAATTTCACTATGTTTGTTTTAATTGCCATTAAACATTGTTTCATTGGACAACATTGGACAGGATGTAAAAAATAAAAAAAAGTAAATAAATATATATTTTATAATCCAAATAGAAAAATGTAGAAAATACAGCGATATATACCGTATATTGCAATTCAGCCAAAAAATACAGATATGATTTTTTTTTGGCTGTATCGCCCAGCCCTACTTTGAATAGTTCTGTTATGTAACTTTTAAAAAGGCACAGACATTCCATGTAGTCTCTCATTTAATAAGAGGTTATATGCACTACTGTTCAAACATTTGGGGTCAGTAAGACATTTTAATGTTTTTGAAAGAAGTCTCTTATTCTCACCAAGGCTGCATTTATTTGAAAATATAAATTAAAAATATAGTAAAAACAAAAACATTAAGACATATTTATAACAATTTAAAATAATTTGTTGTTTGTTTTAAAATATAATGTATTCCTGTGATGGTAAAGCTGAATTTTCAGCAGCCATTACCCCAGTCTTCACAGTGTCACATGATCTTTCATAAATCATTATAATATGCTGATTTAGCGATCGAGATACATTTCTTCTTACTATTAATGTTAATATTAATTAACTATTAAAAGTATTAATCCCAAACTCTTAAATGGTTGTCTATGGCCAGTAGACAAATTATATGGAACATGATGAGACAACCAAGAATATGTATTGAGAAAGTAAAATCTGTACAAAATGTAGAAATATTCCATGCAGTCTCTAGTTTAATAAACTGCATGTGTAATTATAAAAGAATTAGAAAATGCTGTCTAGAAAAGGCCTGCCACTGCTGTGACACATCATATCAAGTGCAGATATTTCAGTGATAACAGTGAGTGACAAACTGCTTACTTGTATGTACACGCACACTACACTCAGAGCAGCTGACGAGTTGGCTAGTGCCGTCGTCCTCCAGATTCGGGGTGGACAGGTGTCCTTCAGAGCTGCTGGTGAAGCACATCTCTGGAATCAGTGGCTTGGTCCTCTGTATGTCTCCTCCTTCAGCTGCTGAACCGCTCTGGCTCAGGCTGATTACATCACCCTATACAGAAGAAACGGCAAAGTGCACAGTGATTACAGTGATTCCACAAATCATTTTTCAACTATCAGCTCACAAATAAAGGGATGATTACTTCTTACTGTATCATGTCTTTACTACATTTTGTTTTCACAACTTATCAGACTTCAGTGTGTAATTTCTCAGCCACTAGCAGCATCAAACAGCCAATGAGACCAAGTTGCTGTGTTTGCCACTCAAACAAAAGAACTTTGAGCAATAAGAGATTTTTGTGATTATAGTAATAGCATGTTACCTCTGTGTACGTGTGAAAGACGGTACACACTGCACAGTACGGAGGATGCTGGCCCATGCGAAAGTTAAAATCCTTCTCAACTCTAAAGTTGCGTGGCTTGCTTTGCCACATGGGAGCCAGGAGTCTGGCCCAGGGATCGGTCTCCTCTGGCTCAGCTGCTGGCTCTTGAATCTCTGTGGAGTGAAGGAGCTAATTAGAAAGAGCACAAACAGTGATGCGACAATAAATGAACAATGTGAAGCAGATCCTAACCGTCATCACTGGAGCTTTCTCTGAGCAGGGGATGCAAGCGTGGCAATTTACTGAGTGGCTGCAGTTTCCTCTTCATGCTCTTATTCTCTTTCTCTCCCTCGATTTCAAGCTGAAGAAAAGCAAGAGGAGTTCATTTTCATTTGGATTCATGTCATCGAGGTGATTTAAATATATATATATATATATATATATACACATTTAATGTACACTACTGTTCAAAATGTTGGAGTTGCTATGCTTTTTTTATGTTTTTGAAATCTCTTATGCTCACCAAGGCTGCATTTTTTAAATAAAAATACAGTAAAGACAGTAATAGTTTGAAATATTATTGCAAAATAACTGACTTTTTTAAATATATATATATATTTAAAAACGTACTTTATTCCTGTGATGGCAAAGACAAATTTTCAGCAGCAATTACTTCAAATCTTCAGTGTCACAAGATTACATGTAACACTCATTTCCTAAATTTTTACATTCAAGTTACCTTTGAAGTAATTTAATTCAAAAGTAATCATTAAAATATTAAAGGGGTCATATGATGCAATTTCAATTTTTCCTTTCTCTTTGGAGTGTTACAAGCTCTTGGTGCATAAAGAAGATCTGTAAAGTTGCAAAGACTAAAGTCTCAAATCCAAAGAGATATTCTTTATAAAAGTTAAGAGTCAACCACGCCTACCTAAAACGGCTCGTTCTAACACGCCCCCACATGTCTACGTCACGATGTGGGAAGATTTGCATAACACCGCCCAAATGTTCACGCAAAGAAAGGCATAACTTTTATTCTCGCTATAGTATTGTTGCCACCGCCGCCATGCCGTGGAGACACTGTGTTTTGTTGTGAAAGCGAAAACCTAAGCTCACCGGCCTCCTCTCACTCAGCCTGCCGGCCGTTCCTCACTCTAGCCGCCGGCCTCTGCTGCGTGTGACACTGTGTTTCGTTGTGAAAGCGAAACTACTTTGTTTGGCCTTCATCATATGACCCCTTTAATAATTTAATAACATTGTTAAATGCTTTTAGTAAATTTTAAAATGAATATCCATTTTTCATGTATATATAATATATACATACTGCATATATTATATATACATATAATACAGTTTTAATACAGTTTTAATATTATCTATTATCAGCAATTACATGAAAATAATCACTGGCTCACTGATTTTTTTATAATAAATTAACTGCTGATTTTATTGCATAATATTTAGTTACTTGCTTTTTTTATATGCTTCAGTACTCAACTACAAAATCACTTAAAATGCCCCTATCAAATATCAACACGCTAAGTCAATATATGTACCAACCTTTGTGTTTGGTTGTGGCGTATTTGGCCTCACATCCGGTTTGATGTCTGACTCATTGAGGTCTTCTCTGGGTTTCTCTTTGCTGGGTTGTTGAGGTTTATAGAGCACTGATCTGGCTGCATAGCTGTGGACCTGCAGGGCATCTGAAGGGCTCAGGGTCCGATGAAAGAGAAGGCTTGCCACCCCTGGTTTGGTGGAAATCCGTGGCACGGCTGACAAGCAGTGAGGGACAGTAGGGACAGATGCTATAGAGAGATGACGCTTTGGGAAGGACTGTGTACAGGCTGAGAACGGGTTTGTGACACTTAAACCTGCGCCCCTAACATGCTCCCCAGATGCAGGGCTTCTAGAACCAGGAAGCATCTTTAAACTGGTTGAACCCATCAGAGGCAGCAGGTCATTGTCATCTTCATCTTTCAATTCTGAAATAGATTTGGTTTTCATCAAATTTCATTATATA